GGGGGGGGGGGGGGGGGGGATAAGAGAAATATTCCGCGTAAGGCTCAAATACAAATGTAAAGTAAAAACGTGTGAAAAGCGAAAGAATGGAAGGAATAAAATGTTTTAGATAAATAATAAGGAACATATGTAATAAAATACGAATATTGTGATCTAATGGGCGAGTGTCAATGTACAAAAAGTCTCGCTAGATATGTTAAAATAGTCATTGGAACAAAACGTCCGCAAATTCGCTGCATTCCACTCGGGAGTTGAGAGTAGGTTTGTATTTTCGTATGCAAAATGCTTTGAACAGGCGTAGGTTTGCGGGGTCCGCAAACGTACTAAAAGAAATTTGAAATCTAAAAGAATTACTTGATTGATTGATTGATTGATTGATTGATTGATTGATTGATTGATTGATTGATTGATTGATTGCTCGATTGATCGATCGATTATTTAATCAACTGGTCGGTTCACTTAAGTCACGTTTTCGTTCAAAAAATTTCAATCATATCTACATTTCCCTCAATCAATTGCTTGTGTAGGTGGGTAAAGTCTGAATACGAACCAAGTGGCCCATCAGGCCGGAGGATATCCCGGTTCTGTAGCGAGTAGGAGTATTTCTAATCGCCCCTAGATGGGACGCTAGTCCATCGTAGGGTTACCCCAAGCAGTAAATTCGCCAGTACCCATTTGTGCGAGCGCACTAACCATGAGGCCACCGTGCCTCTACCATTGACCATTGAACAACTGTACCGAAGACAGGGGAGGCCTCATGGTTAGTGCGCTCGTCTCCGGATTGAGTGGTCTGGGTTCGAGCCCTGGCCGGGGACATTGCGTTGTGCTCTCAGGCAAGACACTTTATTCTCACAGTACCTCATTCAACTCAGGTGTAAAAATGGGTACCAGGGAACGTAATGCTGGAGGTAACCCTACGATGGACTGGCATCCCATCCAGGGGGGAGTAGAAATACTTCTAGTCGCTTCATGCCACAGAAACCGGGATAAGCTGCGGCCTGATGGGCCACTTGGCTCGTGTGCAGACTTAACCCTACCGAGGACTGGTTACGGTTCTTTTATTGTGCGGGTTTTATCTGACCGTTGGCTTCTAGTAACATAGAATAATGGAAATAATTTACAAGGTAAGGTAACGTATAAAAATCGGCCGAAAATTTCCGATTGATTTCCGAAAGTTGGGAGAAAGGCAGTCGGATTGTTCAATGCTTCACACCGCGCGTCCTCATCAAGAGCTCTGCGCTATTAATACATAAATGCATTACTTGTTACGCAACATTACGTGACGCCCTTAATGCCACGTAATCAGATTTAGATTTGGTGTTGGCGAGAAACAGTTTCAATGCATTATGGGAGGTGAGTGTAATGATCATGATTGAACAAATTCCGGGCACAGAACTCATAGATAGCAAGTGTAACGTGCTCCTACTTTACCATCCCACAGTTCCTGGGGACCCACCGGCAAATGTCAGAGCCAGCCCAGACAGCACCACGAGCATCAAAGTGGAATGGGCTCCAGTACCGGAGTGCAAAAGTAATGGAAATATCATCAATTACATCGTTGAGGTGTATAACAGTACTTTGGGGGAAGTACACTATGCTAATGTCAGCGGGAGTGAATTTTCCGAGGTCATTGAGGGCCTACAAGAGTACACAAATTACTCTGTTAAAGTGTTCGCCGCGACGGCCAAGGGCGAAGGTCCATCAAGTGAATATAAAAACACGACAACTCACCAGCCAGGTTCGTATAAAGAAAACAATTTTTTCATTGCCGGCGAGTGAAGGACATAAATTTACGCTGCTCTGTGGCGCGGAGGGTAAGACAATGGCATTTACAGTTAATGAGTGAAATCTGAGCAAGTTTGTGGACGATGATGAATTAATTTTCCATAATTCTGCGCCTAAGAGTGCTCCTAAAACACCTTTCCCCCGAGAGTTATTCTACCAATAGACCATATTCGTACTCACGGTATTGGACTGGAACTAGCTTGCAAGTGAGGTTCATACAGGCAATCTATTCAAATGCAAATGACGTAACGCTGTTTTTAAGATGATATTCCTCCGCATTAGCCTCCATTGCAAGCTAGTTCCAGCCCAATACCGAGTATACGAAACTGGTCTATTCAAGAAGCTCCGCTGCGCAAAGTTTTGTCTTCATTAGGCAAGAAGCTCTCTCTCTTTTTTCTTACAAATAGGAGAATATGAATAGAGTTCAGCTAATCCCGCCGCCTCCCCCCGCCCCAATAATAGTTAGAAATTGGGCAAAATGATATCTGTCGGCAGAGAAATGGCCTGTTTTTAACAGGTAACTGAGAAATGAACTGAAACTTAAAGGGGCTCAGTCACGGAATTTTGAG